TGTCACTTTGTGAGGGGTGTAAAGGATAACTATTGCATTGTTTTGTACACCTGAAACTAGAAATAATAATAATAACTTAAAAATGCACCAGATTCACCCAGAGAGGGGACACAGGCTCATGGTGACAGCGAAGAAACGTAGTTCTGAGGGCACCTTGTGACAGGTGCCTACACAAACACCTGTTATGAGATTGTCTGGGGAAACCAAAAAAGAAGGGTGAGGAATCACCTATCTTCTCTTCTCTCCTTTGCAAGGAGGACATGTGCAATAGCACAGAACTGGTTTAGGATGGGGAGCATTTAGCCACTGATCATTTCACCAAATCTGAACACAGTTCACTACAAGTTAGAAATACAAACACCATCTTTCCCCCATCAAAGTCACATTTGTTTCTTAACTCTCTGGGTTTTGGAGCAGAAACTTAAGACAGATTAACAAATTTTTTTCGGAATGGACGCCAAGATGGAAATATTGATGATACCCACTCTGGGTAAAAACAATCATCGGTGACTTTCTGCTGAACACACTTACTGTTTTTAAAATTCAAGGTGCGCTGAGTTTCCGATGCATGGATTTATGAAAAGGAGTTTCATCCTACCTTGAAGATGAAATCAGCCATCAGAGGTCCTGGGATCTTAAAGGTTTGCCTCTCTGAGCCTCTCTGAAATTCAACTGTTGTGTTTTCTACCACAAAGACTCCAGCGCTGTTAAAGCTGTGTTCTCCTTTGTTTCCTTGGAGTGTTTTCGATTCAATAACTAAAATGTAAAAATAAAATTTAAATGAGAGAACTACCTCATTTTGAGATATAACTTACATAATATCATGTTCGTTTGGAGTATATCACATGATTCGATATTTGTATCTACTGTGAAATGATCACCACAGTAAGTCTAATTAACATCCATCACCACACATACTCAAAATTTTTATCTTGTGAGAACTTTTAAGAGTTTCTCTCTTAGCTATTTTCAAATATACAATACCGTGTTGTGAACTACAGTCACCATGCTGTGTATTACCTCCCCAGGATTTATTTAAAACTGGAAGTCTGTACCTTTCGACCCCCTTCACCCATTCCACTCACCGTCCAACCCCTGCCTTTAGCAACCCCCAATGTGTTCTAAATGAGAGAACAACCGTAAAATCATTTTATTTCATAAAGATGTTTTACTACATAGAATAGCATATGGTATCGACATAATATCAATGCACCCACTGGGTTTGCATTGATTCATGTTGGGGGGATAAACATGGAAGCTTTTTAGTTGCTCCTATCAAGTTGCTGAGACGGTACTGGATCAAATGAGGTCCATTCAATTCTTTGCAGCCATTTCTACCGTAAGGGGAAAGAGACTATGTCTCCTCCTTTATATTGTTCTGTGATGTAGCTATCACTCAAAGTAAAGCTATGTTACTCATTTTATCACCCATTCAGAAGATCCTAATTGCGTCTTTTATTTAGACAACAATAAATCCTAATTTAAAAAAAAAACACAAAAAAACTGTATTTTGAAATAATGACAGATTCACAGGAAGTTGAAAAAATGGTAGAGAGGTCCTGTGTCTCTTTCATGCAGTATTACCCAACGGTTATGTTTTATGCAACCACAGTATAACGTCAATATCAGGAAACTGACATCGGTACAACGTGCACATATAGCCCAATGCCCTTTTATCGCATGTCACCACAATCAAAATACAGAACTGTTCCGTCACCACAAAGATCTCCCTGGTGTGTTCCTCCTATCCCTTGTTTCACATTTGCTTGTACATGAACAGAAGTGCTTGTAGATGGTCCCACACAGACATGATCATCAACAGTTTCACCAAAATAGCATTTCTTCTGTGTTTGAATGATTTCTTTCTTTTCCCCTTCCTTCATAGACCTGGTCTGAGACTGTGAGACAGGACCCTCTCCCCAACTCACTGCCTTGGGTTTTCATTGCCTCATTTCTAAAAGAAGGTAGGAAAAAAACACAAAAACACCTCCCGGGTCCTGTTCTGCTCTGAAATCTACACTTGATTCACTGGTATTCAGAGGTTCTTTAACCATTTCAAATAAAAGACACAACAGGGTCCAAACTCCACTCAGTCTCACACTTAAAAATGGGAGGCTAATGAAACACAAGCAAATCGCCCGGCCCTGGGAGCTGCAATCCACGCACTGCCTGCTTTGGCGGTTTTCCTTCGCAGGCTTTCTTTCTGCCACGAGAGCAGCTGCAGGAATTCAAACACTGGGACAGACAGACGGCGGAACCGGCACTAGGAGACATGGCTGATTATCGCTGATAGGCTGGCTGGGAGCTTTTCTGGGGAGACTCAAAGCTCCTGGACCTGCAGGAGTCGACAGTGGTCAAAACCAAACCCTGGCGACTCTAAAACCCCAACCACTTTGGCCCTGCTCCCCGTGACCACAGTCGATTTTTGGAACGTGTGAGAGTAAATTCATTTCCTAGTTCCAATGAAGATATAAAGCTGAGTGTTATAAAGTGAGTTGTCAGGAAATATGAGCTGGGGAACTGGAGATAGATTGGGTGAATTAGCCCCCTACAGTAAAGGAGGAGGAGCAGAGAGCACGCAGGCAGTATCAAGACACGAAACAAAATCAGACCAAATCCATCCTCACAGCAGGCAGGCAAAACACCAAGTTTCTAGACCCAGGGTCAGCCCAAAATGACTTGACTGAATTCAAACCGTGTACAGTGTAACCCGTGGCTTTGTCACTGCTTTACCACCATGCTACCCTTCTGGGTCGCGGCTTTGTGAGTGTCATCGGATGGATGCGGAGTTAGGGCAGGGGGTGTTGGAACCTGGGACGGCCAAGTGGGAGGAAAGGGAGACCAGTACTACACCCCTCCTCTAAACCAAAGGCTGGCACTTCTGTTGGTTTTGTTTGGTGTTTTGTTTTGTTTTTTAAAGATTTTTATTGGAGAATTGGGGGGATGGGAACAGCGCTGGGGAATTGGGGGAAGGGGAATAGACAAGTTGCTGTCATTTTGTTCTTCAGTCCAGTTGTAGAGGACGTTGCTTCACTGGCCCAAGTTGGCACCATCATTGCGCTCTTCCTGGGCGAGGCAGATCAGTCTCCGGCTTCTGGACGGCCGCTCACGCTGGCTGCTGGCTACACATGGTAGCCCATGGCAACCCACTGCCACAGGGGCTGCAGCCTATACCATCACGGGCGACTCTCAGCAGCCCAGCTCCAGGTTGAGCTGTTGTTCAGCATCTTAGCTGTGGAGGGCAGTGTCACTGGCCCTCATATGTGGGATCCGAACTGGGGCCCTCTGGCGTCCCAAGCCAGTTCTTAACCATCATGCCACTCAGCTGGCCCGGTGTTTTGTTTTTTAATGTCAAGTCAATTCCATGACTTCCACAGTGCCCACCCATGACAGTGACAAGGATATGAGACCGTAAGGAGTAAAACAAGGAGTTCTGAACTGCATGTGATACCCAAACCACTTTCCCCCTGAACCATATACTCGTCCTAAAAGATATATTTTTTTTCCCAATTATTTCACCAGGCTTCCAACTCTCTAGGTCACAGACTCTGGCTGCAGTTAAGAGGTCCAAAGCAGGTGCTCTGAAGTCACCTCTGTCAAGGGTGAAAAGTGGGAGAACGAAGACAGGTAAAGTGACCTGAAGGTGGAGTTTGTGGATGCAAACGGTTCTGATAACGTGGACTAAGGAAGCCACTGTGCCAAATCCACAGTGACAGGGAGGCCAGTGTGGCTCTTCCAAAGGTGCCATTTTTACTGGTGGCAAACTTGCTCTTAAAATAAATGACAGGAGTTTGTGAACTTCAGCAATTCAGATGATGTGCTGGCTTACGGAGGTGTTTATGAAGTTTTTCTTCATGGCTGTTTTTTCTATGCACTTGCTACAGCCTGTCCTGTGACAACGTACAGCTCACAGCTCGTGACAGCTACACACACAAGCCCTTTGGATCTCCGAGCTTTGCTGGCCTGTTGGCGGTTTCTGCAGCAAGGTGGCTAGTGCCGGCTGGAGACCCCCAGGAAGCCTATAGATGCCCCACCACTATGAGGGGCAAAGGGTATGAGCCTCCTCTCCTACTGCCCACTGCTGACTTCTTTGTCCTCTGTAGACTTAATATGATTGAGGTGGGGGGGCACAGAGAAGCGCTGAGGAAGAGAGGATACATAGCGCAAGCAGGTAGAAACAGAACTATAATAGACACCCAGACCCTCTTAAATCCCCCAAAGCATCCCAACTCAAGTCTATATGGATATCTTCAAATATTTTGGTCCATAACTAGTTATTTTTCAAAGAAATGCTTGCAATTGCTTCTCATTGAAGGGCCTGCATGGAGAAGGATCAGTCCAGGCTTCTCCCAAAAGAGGCATAGTCATGCTAACCACCCCCAAGAGGTCTCCTTGAATTCTGAGAAGGCCATGGAAGTATTGTTACGAAAACCTGTACTGAGCTAGTTCAGCTAACGTAGTTATACATGCGTCAGACTCATGCTTAGCGCAGAGCTGTCTTTTATGGTACATGCACATATATTCAGCATCTGTTTCTTCTGACTGGTCATCATACACAGTCCCATGTTTACATTTATATAGCTTTATATACAGTCATCAGACGAGACTTAGAGGACCAAAAAAAAAACCTGCCAAATGATAATGGAAGTTTTTCAACTGACTGCATCTTGGCTTTTCAAGTTTAAGGCTAGTCAAAGATTTAATGCTGATTTTGCTACACTAAAATCTCTTCTGCAGGACTCTCTTGTTACTTCCATTCTTGAAGGGGTGTACTGTCAGGAAATTTGGAGCTGTATGCCTGCTATCACGCTGGGGCCAGACTTGGGACAGGAATGGAGAGTCAGGCTCTGAACATTTGTAGGCAGCGCGTGAGATGGACATTTCGTAATCAGATTCCACTCCACAGCAAAGAGTCTGACATTAACATTCCTGGGCACCCTCAGCTGTGAATGCCCCCTTTTGGAGGGCTATATTAATACAGATCTTAAGAGAATGATTTATTACTGCAAAATAAGCTGCATTGCAGGAATCCCTCTTTGTTAAAAACAAAAATTAAGAAAACAGTTGTATAAATCAAGAGAATCGAACCACTTCTATATTTAGAGGTCCAGAAATGTTACCTTAAATCCTTTGTAAACAAAGCCAGCGCTATTCATCAGCAGAGGATAACTTTCAGAATAACTTCTAGGGTCAACTATGAGATAGTTCAGAAGGGGAAATTTCTAAGCAACAGACCTGTCACCTTTGAAGAAATGGGAACATTTCTGAATCCTGTTCTTGGGACAGTGCCAATCTCATATGCAAGGACATATATGCATATAAATGAATGTTCTGCCTCAAAGTAGTCACCTTTACTCATTTCACTTTATGTTTACTTCTTCTATGTACTGTCTACTTAGTCTCCTCTTAGAGCTTACAAAACTATTTTTGGAGCTGAATTTTTGGAAACTGCCTTTCGTATCATGAGAAAACTCAGGCCCAGTCACTGCATATTTTCTGGGGTTTTTTTTTAAAACATCGTTTTGATGTGCCATAAAACTCACATGCCATAAAATTCACCCATTTTAAATGTAGTTTAACAGTTCCAATATATTCACAGGGTTGTGAAACCTTCATCAGCATCTAAGTTTAGAACATTTTTTGTCATCCCCCCAAAAAATCCCATACCCACTGGCAGTCACTTTCCTCATTCCTACCCACCCTCTACACCCCCCCCACCCCCACCCCCTGCAAACCATCCTACCAATCTACTTTCCATCTCCACAGATTTGCCTACTCCGGATATTTTCTTTAAATGCAATCACATAATATGTGGCTTTTTGCAACTGGCTTCTTTCACTTCGTTTAATGTTCTCAAGGATCCTCTATGTTGTGCAAATGTCAGGACTTCATTCTTTGTTACAGCCAAATAATATTCCAGATGCCACGTTTTATTGATCCATTCATCAGTTGATGGACAGTTGGGTTGTTTTTACTTCATGGCTGTTATGAATGATGTTGCTGTGACTATTCAGCACATCATATTTTTTTAATCCAAAGTGGTATTTTACAGTGTGATCTCTCAAATGATTCACAACCCTGGGCTCTGGATGATTCCGATCTGTTTTCAATCATCGAGTTTGCATTTGTAAGTATGAAAACATACCTTCGTCAAGGGTTGTGGGCTTTACGCCATTTTAAAAAGAAGCTTAAAAAATGTTTTGCCCCCACAACCACTTTAAGTGTGTGGCAGTGTAGCATGGGTAGCCTTTCCAATAAAGGTTTATATAAAGAATAGTGTTGAGAGAAATAGTTCTGAGAGAAAAACAGTCCACAGAGAAAGCCTGGAATGAAGTGACCATTATATGTATGTAATCATTTTAGTTATTTTAGTTTAAACATCAGTCCTACTCTTTTAGTCATAATTCATATAATAAACTTAAAGGTAAAACAAAGACTCTCCAATCATTGTTCACCCTCAATGTCCCAAAGATATTGTCTTGCTTCCCTAAATGAGATCATAACATATTACAGAATTTCCCTTTTTATCAAGACTTTAATCTACATTATTAGAGACCTTAAACATTTTTACTTCAACATTTTGATATAAACTTTTCTCAAAGGACATTTCTGGTTGAAATATTAGTTCTGAATTCAAAATCCATACACATACACACACACGCTACCAAAAATGTAAGATGCTTCTGGCCCTGAGAAATTTTAGTGATTTAAAATCTATATGGTGTCTCTTGGGAAATACAGCAAAATACATAGCACTTTGATCCAGGGGATCTTGATTTGTATGGATTTAAAATAGTTATAATAGTCTTTTGTACTTTTTACAAAAAGAGAGAGCCAAACACAGCAAGCTTCTTTGAGGCCAGGGGGCCTGGTCTTGGCAGAGACCCATTTTCCTTTGAAAAAAACTAAGAAAGTCCAGCCTGTGGCCACAAGGAGACCTTGGGAGAAGAGACAAACTTTGATATTTCCAGTTCCTCAGGTCCCAAGAGACCAGAGAAAATCAGACAGAGAAGATGCCACCTCATTTTGGCTAAAGACACAATACAAACGCTCTCAGTATTTTGGAAAACCAATGCTTACGTTCCATGCCCCCTAGACCTGAAGCCATGACATGCTGCAACAAAGCTAATCCTTGTCAGATATATTAACTGATACAGTTCTGTGTTTTACATTTTGTTTTTTCGTTCAAATTGCTGAGACCTCCAGAAGACTCTTGAATCCTCGTTTACTCTCCACATAAAAATAGATTACTTCACATATAACTTTATTTCCATCCCCATGAGGTAAGATTAATCCTAAACTGGTATATTTTCCACCGGGGCACAAGAACAGAGAAATTTAGGGCTGCCTCATTTCCCTGTTGATATAGAGTCTAGACCATTTCAGCATCAAAATCCTTGAGATGTTTGTCTACACACCCGTTAACACAAACAAAGATTTTTTGGGCAGTGGGGGTGGGGTAGAATTAAATTTTCAGGAAATAAAACAATGTTAAGATTAAATTCTACTTACAGAGATGTGCAGGTCCTTTCACTGTAATTCTCACACTTCGACTTCCCAAAGGAACAGCGATGACATTTTCTTCTCCTAGGAAAGAACACAAACAAGTGTCGTAAAACTTGTGCACTACAGGCCCATAAAATAAGCAAGTCATTCAAAACCGGGGGCATTTGTGAAGAGTTTTTTTTTTTT